CCTGGAAGACAGGAGACAGTTACCCCCAGAATCAAACTGAGCCCCACTAATCTGGAACCAGCAGGCTGAGAGCTGCAGTAAACTAGAAGAAAACGTTGTTCTCATGACTGGTTTGAACATCAGACCCAGAGAAAAACAAAAAAACAGGTTTACTATAACATTGTTAATCATACTTTATGCATTCATACAGTGAATTATCTTTTAATTAGAGCACTTTAGCTGCTTGAAACTAAACAATATAGTTTTGTTCTGAGTTAAAGCCCAAACAGAAGCAGCTAAATGTTCATTTTCCTTCAGAATCATCTTAAACTTCATCTCTGTGCTCCGACAGCAGCTTCTATTCTTCCTCTGCTGGTTTTTCTCTCCTCTCTGACAGTTTCTCTGGTTATTGAGTTCCTCAGAGTTTCCAGCTGTTCTTGCTCTGGGTTAAACTTCTGTGTATCAGTATCTGGATCTCCTGACCCAACTTTCAGAGGCTTTTTCTGCTGTTTTTCTTTGTGTTTTTTTGTCATTTTCCCCCTTTGTGGTCATTTTATGACCATTCAAGGCTGCTTTGTGTCTTTACGATAGATCTATTGTGTAATTTTTCCTACTTATTTCTTGTTAATTTGTGTCTTAATTTGGTTCTGAGTTTTTCCTGACATAAACGTGCTTCTCTGTGGTTATTTTTTGTCTCGTTGTGGTGTCATACTCAGTCAGAAATGCATCAAGCAGAACATTCGACCACTAAAACTTTCATTTCTGTTCGGGAACGACAGGAAATAAACAGAATCTGACATCTTAACAAGAAATAATGATGTCGCTTATCATCAAAATGTTTTTAATGACTAACATATCTGTTTTTGTGTTAAAAACCTAATTTGGGCTGCAGAACTGCTACAACCTGGGGTTTATTCTGCTGCTGGTTTGGGACAAACCTCCCACTGGGGGGCCGGATAGCACATTTCTACATTTCTGTCCCCTCTCCTCACCTGGTCCTGCAGGAGACCGGCTGGGTCTGCATGGCGAACACCAGGCAGAGTCCTGCACACACAGACACAGGCCTTAGCCTTAGGGGGGCGGGGCCTTAGCCATAGGGGGCTAAGCCCCGCCCCCTCCGGGCACCAGCGAGCCGCACGCCACCTGGGAAGATGAAGATGAAGAAGGCGCTGATCCCCCCGATGACGCTGATGACTTTGCTGATGTCGGGGACGAAGACGGCGATGAGCAGCGTGAGCGCCAGCCAGGCCGCCGTCAGCAGCCAGCGGCTGCGCCTCTCGAAGGCCGCCGCCTCCGCCGCCGCCGCGCCGCCACGCCGCCGCCAACAGCTCAGGAGCGGCTCCTGGATCACCGATCTGGTCGGGGGTGGAGGGGGCAAAGATTTATGACCCTAAAACAGCATCTGGAAGTTTTTTCCATCAGTCTGAAAATGACAACCAAATGATCTACAGGTCAGCCAGAACACGGCGGCGCGTCTGGTTTAAATTAGCCCCAAAAGTCTCACATCCCCCATCTGTTCCCTGAGATTCACTGGTTACCCCCGGTTACCCCTGGTTACCCCTGGTTACCCCTGGTTACCCGCATCAAACTCAGGTCCCTGATCCTAACCTACAAAGTGCTTATTGATTATTGAGAACTGGAACATTGCGTCTACTTTGAAAGTCACTTTGGATAAAAGCATCTAAATGCAGAAACATAAATATAAAAGCCTTTAAAACTGCTTTAAAAGCCCCAAAACAGCTTTAAAAGCCCTCAAAGCAGTTTTAAACCCCAAAAAACAGCTTTAAAGCTAAAAAAAATAGGTTTGGATAAAAGCGCCTAAATGCAGAAACATAAAACATAACAACCCAAAGGATGAAAATCAGAAAGAGACTCCAGACTTCCACAGAACGAGTTCGGGGAGTCTTTTCCCCGCCTCAAATCCAGCCAGTATGCAGACTCCGACCCCTTTGTGTCCCCAGACCTCTGGAACGCTGATGGTTTTCTCACACATTTGTGGACAAACTTGGGCCTCTTTACCCCTCAATCACGCTGCATTAAACACCGACTGTGTGATAAATCCTGATTAAAGATCCTCTGTTATCATAACACTTCTTAAATCTGTTAAAGCCTCCAAACACCGAACTGGGGCCTGAGGGCGGGGGCGTTTCTAAAGGCAGGGCCGGGGGGGCTGACCTGCCCAGCAGCACGGTGATGGGGTAGATGGTGATGATGGAGACCCCGAACAGCAGCCGGGCCACCAGCATCAGAACGTCCCGGCTGCTGTAGGACATCAGCACGTCCGGCGCCAGCTCCCTCCCGAAGGTCAGGAACCCGTAAACGCCTGGAACAGAGCAGAGGGAGGGCGGGGGGGCGCTGGAGGACGGCTCCGATGGGGGGGGGGGGAGGCTAGGGGGGGGGGGGGGGGGGGGGGCTGGGGGGGGGGTGGGGGGGGGGGCTTAAGGGCGGGGGGGGGGGGGCTGACCTGTGAGGGTGTAGATGAGGAGGCAGATGACCATGGCCAGCACTGAGACCAGCGCCCAGTGAGACAGCCGCTGGTTCTCCATGCTGCTGTAGATGGCGATGGATGCCTCATGGCACTGGAACACAGAGAGGACAACCCAGAATGAGTCTTTAGGACCCAGAATGAGCCTGTAGGACCCAGAATGAGTCTTTAGGACCCAGAATGAGTCTGTAGGACCCAGAATGAGCCTGTAGAACCCAGAAGGACCTAGAATGAGCCTTTAGGACCCAGAACGAGCCTGTAAGACCCAGAATGAGAAGCTGTCACTTACCTGGAAACCGAAGCAGATGGTTGGCACGACGCTGAAGACGGCGGCCCAGGATCCGGCCCTGCACACACAGAGGGGGTTACAGGCCCGGCTTTGGGGACTGAAGCAGGATTTCCAGAAGGCCGAGCCTTCTGCTTTTCCTCAGACATTTTCTGCTGAATGAGTGTTTCGTTTCTCTTTGTGGAAAGTCGACTTTTCAGTGGAAGGTGTGATCCACACTCTGGCTTATCTGCACAGGAGCCCCCGACTCCTAACCATCGGAAATGAGAGTCGGTCATGAGCGTCTTCAGGGGAGCTCATCACCCCCTAATGGCCCGGTCGCCGGCATCTGCTGCCGCATGCGAGCTGCCGCTTAGCCACATCCAGCAGTCCGGCAGGGCCCAGAACTCACAGGAAACGGCTCGTTTTGCCCGCTTAAAAAGCCCAGAACTTCTGTCATGACGACGAGTTTAATGCATTCAAACTCATGCAGCAGTTTGGGACTCAGATAAGCTGAGAAAATGCAGCTGCATGCAAAACCATCTCCCATATCGATTATTAAACCAGACTTAATGAACCTTCACCTGGTTTGTTTTTTATTAAAGCCAGCTCGTTAAATTTCCGTGGCCATGCATGTCCCCCTCTCTGAATAGTGGAATAATCCACTTTCACTGGGTCCGTTAGCTCTGTAAGTGCTTGTTTGGAAGCATAAAACTGGCTCCTGTGGTGCCCACAGGCAGAAAACAAATGCGTCAGATAGCTTTGGAGAGCAAAGAAGAACTCCAATCTGCCAAACAAAGGTGAACGCACCTGCGTTTAGCTCCTCCAAAGCCGCCCCAAAGCTTTCCAGCTTCATTTTAATAGTTAAAAGGGTTCATTCGACACGTTTCCAGCTGCTTAACCGGCTTGTTCTCCTTACTGGTTTCAGTCCAGTTTCAAAAAGCCAAATAATCAAAGATATCTTATTATTTGGTCTATTTCCAAAATCCAATGGAGTTTAACCAAAATGTTTTCAATTTCCCCCCCAAAAAACTCACATTTAGAGTGATTTAGCAAAAAAAAGTGCTGATTTCTGAGCAGATAAACTGTCAAACCAATAGACTGTCGGCTCAGGAGGCTCTGTGCCTCCTAAAGGCTGCAGCTGGGGCCTGATGGGTCCTCATGGACCCTGATGGGGTCTGATGAGACCTTCTCCACGTACCCGCCGGAGTGCAGCGGCGTGCTGCGGGCCGCCGGCGCCGTGTGGTACCGGACCATGATGGCCACCGTCAGGTAGGACGCAGCCAGAGTGCCCAGGACGCTTTGAGGGGACACAAAACACAGATTCACAGCAGGGAGCCACAGAACTGAAGGACGGCGAGGCAGCGGCTTAAAGCTGCCGAATCTGCAAAAAAAAGAGCCGAAGCAACGGCCGGCTCTCTAACCTGATGTGCTTCTGGATGCTGATCTCCTTGGAGACGGACATGGGCAGGATGAGGAAGAGGCAGAGCAGCAGCAGGGCCAGGCGCTGGTCAGTGTACAGCTGGTAGGGCACCTCCGACCGGGACAGGCCGGTCAGCAGCTCGTACAGGGAGTCGCACACTGCCGGCCAGAGGGGAGCAGAGGGGGGCAGAGAGGAGGTTAAGAGGCTCTGAGAGGCATCCAAAGGCCTCCAGGAGTCTCCAGGTGCCTCCAGGAGAACCCAGGACCCTCCAAAAGCCTCCAGGCGCCTCCAGAAGAATCCAGGAGCGTCCAGTAGCCTCCAGAGACATCCAGGGCCAAACAGGAGCCTCCAGGAGGGAAGCAGAGCTCAGACCTCCCACATTACACAGAACCTCAGAAGAGCCACAGATCTGCTCTCAAACTTAAGACTTCTTACTGTTTCCATGATTCATCTATTCTTTTTGGATAAAGAACAGGTTTGAAACTCAGACGGTTTTGGACTGAGGACAATTACAGTTTACTGGTTTTCCATTGATGCTAGCATGATGCTAAACATCATTTTCTCTTTCAGTTTAGAAGCTTTAGTTGGGACTTTATTGCTGTTTTTAACCATAAATTTAGCCTATGTATTTTTCATCATTTATCCGGTCCGTTATATGCAGATTAAAACTAAAATGATGTCAAAAACAAACAAGAAAACAATGCAAAACTTGTTTACAGTGACCCTCTTGTGCCTTTGGACCTCAGCCCCACCGTCCTCCAGCTCCAGACACACATCTGCATCCCTCTCTGCCCACACAGGAGCCCACACTGCTAACCCCACACCTCCCTCTGACTCCTCCCAAAGACCTAGCAGCACTGGGACGCTCCAGGTGGAGGCTGACTGGTCAGCAGCGTCCCTACAGACGTCTGCGGGACCTGACCTGGGCTGGCTCCGGCCTCTGGGGGCCAGGGCGGGCCACCCCGGGACTCACGCTTGTCCAGCTGGTCGTCCACCACCACCAGGAAGGCCACGGAGATCATGAAGAGGTTGAAGACGAAGCAGAGCTCGCACAGCTGGCCGATGGCCGGCCCGCACAGCTGCCTGACCACCGCCTGGTAGGTGGCCCCGCCACTGATGGAGGACGAGTAGCCCAGGATGATCAGGCCGCTGACCAGGAAGACCAGCGAGATCTGGGGAGAGAGAGGCCGGTTAGGAGGGGGGGTCCTCCTCACGCGGGGGACGGAGGATGCTGTTAAGCCCCCAGGTTGCTCAGGAAGCGTTTGAAGTGAAAAGCTGGCGTTTTTTCCTCCTTTTAGAGCAGCGATCTGAGCTGGGAAGCGTTTCGTGGCGCTTCAGGCTGCAGTTTCAGGCGTTTTCCTGCTTCTGGGCAGCTGGTTGTGAAGGACTAGATCTCCTCAAAGCTCTGCACAGGCCTGCTGAGGAAGGAGGAAAAGACCTCCAAACAGGAGGGAGACTTCCCTCCTGGCCAGAAACTTTTATCTGGTTTCACTTCAGTGGCACCAAATGGAATTATGAATAATTATAAATACCATTAGCTGGGGAGCTGACTGCTCCTCACACAGAAAATAGAGGGAGGTAACTCTTTGATCCACCTCTAACCCAGAATTTGTCCATTTCTAAGCAGCTTGCATTGGACATTTGATCTGAACTACCTGTTTACAGACTGGAAGTTAGTGAGGAGAGCAGCCAGAAACCTGTGACGCTTCCTCTGATCCTCTGGTGATTAAATCCTTATCGAAAGTGAGAGGTAAATATCAGTGGAAAAGGCCCTCCGGTCAGCTGGAGCAGATCTGGACCGATCTGAGCCAAAAAAAACCTCCACGATCAGGGCATCCGGAGCCGCGCTCACCAGCTCCACGGTCACGGCGCTGCGCACGCCCCCGGCTCTCTCGAAGGCCCAGGGGAAGTTGAGCAGCCCGGCGCCCAGGGCGGACTTCAGCATGATGAAGACGGCCCCCGTGGAGCCCAGCCGGGGCCCGGCGTCCAGCGGCGGCTTGGCGGAGGCTGACGCCAGCAGGCTGATGCTCTCTCTGGCCAACTCCTCCATGATCCAGCCGGCGGAGCGCAGCGTGCGCCAGGAGGCACTCTGAGGACCCGCGGCCGGCCGGGGCGCGGGGAGAGGCGGCTGGAGGGGGGAGGAGGGGAGGGGAGGAGAGGAGAGGAGAGGGGAGGGGATGGGAGGACAGGGGAGGGGAGGGAAGCTGCTGCCTTCCAGCACGGCTCGGAAACTAAACTTTTTTGCGTCTTTCCTTTACGGATGAAGTTTGCAAATCGTGCAACCTGCGTTTTTTTGAGCTTTAAATTAAATGTTTTATGTTCAAATAAATGTTACTGTTGTTTGGATAAAGGATTTAAAGCACAGGATGTATGCAGTGAAGTGTAGAGCAAAGAATAGACAAACATAAAACTGGAAATAAAGATAAAAACAGAGAAAAGTGAAAGTGAATGATTTCTCCTCCGGCTGTGTGTCCTTTCAGGAGATGGTCAGCTGGAGGTCCAGATGCAGCTCTCAGCTCCTGTTCAGCTCTCTGCTGGATCTGCTCCTCTTTCTGAAGGACCTCACTTTCAGGTCCTCTTCATCTGCTGGATTTGAGAGTTTTTCAGGCCCAGCTCTTCTTCTTCTGTCCTCCACTGGTCCAGTTTCCTCAGATGTTTTAAGGAGTCACTGATCTATGCTCCTGTAGTATAAGCCTTGGCAATTATTGTTTGATACAGGCATTTTACACCTGTAACATAATTTGATGGAGCAGAAACCGTCCTCAGGGGGAAAACTGAGAGTGAACTGATTACTCAGATTACTCAGAAAAGCCTAAGTGTCTAGTGCCACCACATCCCCATAACCAAAGTGAACCCATTTAGCTTTTAGGGAAAGCTACTGGTCTAGTGGCAGCAGAAGAGATGAAGCTCAGGAACTGGTCCCATTCTGTCTTTTCTGCTTGTTTTGATAGCAAAAGCAAGCCGGAGAACAAAGGAAAAGGTTTTGCTGTTCTGTCAAAGCTTTGGCCGTGTTTTGCTGTCGGCCGCCTTCGGTCCATCGTTCTGCAGAAAAAAAACGAGTGCTCGACAAACGCCTGAGAAGAAACGCAGCAGTCAGTGTTGCTCGAGTTGGCCTCTGAAAATGGGTTTCTGATTTTTAATTTCATGGATGAAAATTAGGGGGGAGGTGGGGAGGAGGAATCAATTTCCTGCTGTACAGTGCGTGAGAGAGCAACAGATTCCAGCTCTGAGGGGAAAGAGAGGAGGCAGAAGGAAAAACAAACATAATGAAAATACTTTCTAAATAATCAGCTTTGCTGCCGAGTCGTGTTTTAAATAATTCTTAACAATTCGGCTTAAGCTTAAATTCAAATCCAACAATATTTGTTTATTTTTTAGTAAGAAAGCGATTTTGGAGATGCGTTTAAATGCAATGTTTGCTTTCTGTGATTCTTTGTTCAGACTTGAGCCCAGCTACCAGCTTAAGTTTTCTCCTCCAGCCCAAATGGACCCACCTGCTCAGGCTGCCCTGACCTTTGACCTCTGAGCTGCTAGAGATGGTGCAGAGATGCTCAGACTTGCTGCTCAAACTCTGTGAGTTCCTGTGGAAGCAGCCAAGATTTCTTCATCTGTGCTTAATTTGATCGTAGTTTTGTTGGATTCAGCTCTAAAACTTGGAAAAGAGCCGACGCTTCTTACTCTGTTCTGCTCAGAGAAACTCTAAAAAAAAAAAAAACTGTAAAACTCGGACGGGCCACCGGCTGGCTGTGGGACATGTGAGCAGGACGAGTGGTACAGGACAGCCTCATGGGACAGAAGAATTCAGCTCCCCGCCGCCGCCTTGTTCCTTCCAGGTGACCTGGTTGGCCGAAAAGGAAGTCCCTCCATCTGGGAACCTCGGAGGGAAAGAGGGCATGTGACCTCCACTCACCACCGGCTTTCCCAAATCTTGTTAGCGGGACTAGCTGGCTCCGGGGTCATTTCCCAGTTTCCCAAGGTCCGGCGGAGATTAGCCGGCGAGTGGTGCCGTCATCCAGGCGGACAGGTGACAGATTCACAGGCCGATCTGGTGCTTAGGCTCAGATAAGGAGCCAAAGCTCAGACTCTGAGCACACCGGCACACATCGCCTCTAATGAAATCAGCCCGCATCGCTGGATTCAGCCCACAGCCTCCCCTGACCCCGAGGGGGGGGGGGGGGGGGGGGGGGGGGCCCACCCGCCCTCTGATCACAGAAAGAATTTTAACGGACAGATGCAGAGTCACAGGCCGGTCTCCTCCTTTTGCTCAGCTCACCTCCCAGCAGCTGCCGGGGAACTGAACCAGTTTAGGGTTAATACCTGTAACCATCGGATGGGTTCTGCTTCAAACGCTGAACGTTTGTGCTTCCTGCTTTAGAGAGGAAAAAAATCTACAATCTCTTGCCTTTTAGGACTGACATGACTGGATCATATGAAGCTAAAAAATGAGGGAAAATATTCAAAATCTTCTCAGATGGACTTGCTGCACCAAATTTAATCACAACTCAAAATACATCTGTTTAAGATGGCCTTTTCATTCTGAGGCCTATTGATATGGCCATTGCCTCTGTCTATTTTATTGATCTTTATTGTTGTTTCTTTTAATGCATTTTTGTGTATCTTTGTCCTCGAGTGTCGAGAAAGGCACCTTCTAATAAAACGTATTATCTATGATTATTAACTCAAAGCCTTTGTCCTCAGATTTACTGTTAAAATCTGGTTCAAAACCAAACATGTGGCCTTACCTTTGACCATTTTCCTGAAGAAAGCAGCCCAGGGAACTTTGGTAATGCTTTTTAATGGATGAGATATATCTGGGGAGTCCGTGGGCGACACTGAGTGAGCGGCAGCCGGCCTGCGCAGGCCGTTCATCATAGAAAATATAAAAACAATGAAAAGACACAGAGGTGGGCACGACTCAGGATCACCCCGCAGCGGACTCCGCCTGACCTTTGACCCGGCTGCCCTCCGGCTGTACAAACAAATTCAATAAATATTAAAGTCAGATGTTCATTAGTAAAGAAGGCGTTTGGTCGTAAAGGAGGAGGGGGGGTGGGCGGGGGCGTGTTCAGGTCCAGGTGTGTGTTTTCTGTCCATTGGTCCACACAAAGAGGCACAGGACCGGGGCGGTGGCGTCCAGACGGCGCTCAGACGGCGGGCGCCTTGCCCCCCCCCGCCGCCGCCTGCTGCTGCTGCAGGTAGGTGGGGCGCTTGATGCGCGGCTTCCTGCGTTTGGGTTTGCTCTTGGCTTTGGTGAGCTGGACCACGAAGAAGGACAGCACCACCATGGCCCCCAGGAAGGCAAAGACGGGGATGGTCTGGCCCACCTCCTGGTTGTAGCGGCCCGGCATTATCCCTGAGGGGGGGGGGGCAGAGCTGAGGGTCACATGGTGTCTAAGTGTGCAGAGTCCCCTATCAAGGCCTCAGCCAGCTGTGGTGGAGTGAGTCTAATCAACTGTGACAAATGCCCTTTTTCATGTTTAGAGAACAGACGTCTGTGAGGATCCTCATCATCCTTATCAAGCCTGAAAAGTGCAGTTTAGGCAACTTTTCTATTAGACGTTTGGCCTCTGATCCAGAAGCTTCTTCAGCTCTAACTGATGGTGGAGCTCTGAGGTCAATATACTGTAGGTGGAGCTAAACAATTAGGGGAAACCAAAGGTGGCTCTGGTCCCTAAACGGCCAAAAATAAGTGAAAGAAGAAAAAAAATAAAAATAAAGGAGCGGCAAAACAATGAATAAAAATGCAGAGTCAGGTTCACCATCAGTTAGAGCTGAAGAAGCTTCTTGGATCAGAGGCCAAACATCTAATAGAAAACTTCACCTCCAGCTTCCTGAACTGGACTCTTCAGGCTTTAAGAACAGACCAACATAGAGTAGGAATCTTAGGATCTGTGCTGAAAAACTAAATGAAATGTGACTTTGTGTAGAATGAAAGTGCTAACCTGCTGATACGGCAGCCCTCACCTACAGAAAACTACCATAAGGGTTTCACACTCACATCTCATTTAGCGGCTCAAAAGCTAATTTATACCGTGTAAGATCATTCCATCTTTGAATTATTGATCAGCAGCAGAACACAGAAAACAAAAATGTCCAAACATGTTAAATCCAATAGATCTCATCCGTAAGTGATGATGAGGAGGATGGTGCAGCAGAAGTAAAGCGGGGTTCAGGGGGCGCTGTTACCTCCGGGGATGTCCCAGGCCCCGCTCTCCCCCGGGGACAGAGGCCTGACCTGGGGCCGGTAGGCCTTCATGTTGGGCAGCGCCACCTTGTCCAGGTCCACCGAGAGCAGCTTCTGGTGCTTCCACAGGTTGCTGCGGACAGAGCAGAGTCCAGATGTGAGATGCTTTCCCCCCCCCCTGCCCCCCAGGACTCAGAGCCCCCCCCCAGCAGCTCGGGCTCGGCTCGCTCACCTGGGCGCCGTCTCGTTGAGGGGCTGCGGCTTGGCCCAGGACAGGTGGGGGCAGGCGGGCAGGGGGCGGGGCTTCGGGTCCCCCAGGTGGGCCTCCAGAACCTTGGAGTAGCGGTAGAGGTGGTTTCCTGGAGGAGGACAGGACAGCGTGAGGCACAGGCTGCCGACCGGCAAATAACCCGTCATCCAAAAACAGACCCTGAATCCAGACATCCTCCCACTAGACGACAATAGAAACCTGAGCTTCTGTAAAACCTGCTACATTCCACAAAGCACCCACTTCTCACAACCATCCCACTTAGATGAAGTTTGAACCCTTTTGAACCGTTTCAAGAGTCTGTGTTTCCCTTTTATCTCACAGGCAAACCTGCATTTATTTGAAAATACAAAGAGAATCATTTGTGGAAATGTCTGTTTTTTGCTGTATAAACTAGACTAAAGGCTGTGGAATCAGACTGGACCCCCAGCCAGAAGCTGGGGGGGGTTACTGGTCAGTGGGTTTTCCTGAGTACAGGACACAGACCAGGTCTCCCTCCGTTTGGTAAACGGGTCCCCAGACCGGGCAGGATCCGGGTTCATCTCTCAGTACCTTCCAGCCTCTGTGGCAGCGGGCGGTCTGCCCCCGTGGGGGGGGCCACCCTGCTGTGGGAGTGGCTGAGGCTGGGCGGGGTCATGCTGTAGGAGGTGTACTGCAGCAGGGCATCCAGGAGCCAAAAACAGTCTGCGGGAACACAGAGAGAGGCCGACACATGAGCCAGGGGGCAGAAAAGGGCTGAACCCGGCTGGCCCGGGAGGAGGAGGAGCCTGGGGGCGGCACCTTTCTGCCTGTGGCTGTCGTCTATGCAGTTCGAATCCCCATACAGGGCGATGCGACCCCCGCCGTCCGAGGGCGTTTGGTACAGTCCGAGGATGGGAACGCCCTCCACGACGGCCGTCTCCTGCTTCAACACCTCCAGGCCTGTAAAGGCAGCACAGGCCGGCCGCGGTCAGAACGCTCAGACGGGCAGAGAGGCAGCGGTGGTGTTAGCGTTAGCTTTAGCATTAGCTTTACCCTGGTCCTTCAGGTTCTTGGCGATGACGATCCCGTCCTCTGGGAAGCGGGCGATGCTGCAGCCCGAGGCGTAGTACACTGAGGGAGACAGGCGTTTAAAGGGACACGGAGTAAGAATTCCTCCATCTGACGGTGAAACTATGTCCTGCATCCTAACCAATCTGCTCTCTAGCGCCTCCGTTTTCTAGCTACGGTAGCCGTCAGGCATCAAGAAGTAATGACAGCATGACTTCCACATCATGGAGTTTTCTCTGGTGATGAGGTTTGGAATTTAAAGGAAAATTGCAATATTTTTTTAAAATTGCTTTAAAAGAAATTTCAGTCACGTGACTCTGAAGGAAAACATGTTGTGGATCAGCTAGACAGGCAGACTAGTGCTTTATGTCACTCTCTGCCATTATAGTTTTTCAAAATGGCGGACCGCTATGGAAACCTCAGTGGACTCACCCGTCCTGTGTATGTACAAATAGGAAATTTTTCACTTATGAGGAGAAGTCAGATCATTGCTGAGGTAATTAGGACACATTTATAAATTAAATTAAATACTTTAAATAATAAACAATGTCCCTTTAATGGGCGGCGCTCAGCGGGGGGGGCGTCGCCGGGCCTCTGACTTACTGTCATGATCGGCCAGAGTGAAGTCGCCCTCGTACAGCCCGTCGCTGAAGGCCATCCCCCACACGGAGATCAGGTCGTTCAGAGCCGGGACGTTAGCGCCCCCCGTGTCCGGCATCCACCACTGCCTGCAAGCGGGAGCACACAGATAACAGCTCAGATCAGGACTTTATGACCCCAGAGCGGGGATATCCACACGTTACAGCAGCAGAGCCAAAAAGAAAGCGGTAAGGGATTTGCAGGGGTGCTCTCAGTGTCTGTGACCTGCAAATAGTACAACGAAAAAGTACTAAGTGACGGACCAATAAGAAAGAAGGAAAAACTCCAAGTACAGCCGAAGCTCTACCTATGATCCAACATCCGAAGTGAAAGTAAATTTCCAACGTCGAAGTCATAGAAAAAATAAATCAATAAATCAATTAAAAAAGGTTTTCCTGCTCAGTCTCTCTTTGATTGGCCCAAGACAAAACAGCAGCTCCCACAGAAAATGACCCATTTCCAGTCCGTTAAAACCAAATTGCTCGGCGATAATGTTTGGCAGCCTTAAAGACTGAATCCTGGCGTTTTTAAAGCCTCCCGCTCTCCGGAGGCCGCAGCGGCTCGGGCGGGGAATGAATGGGGCCGGCTGAGTAACGGTTATCTCCCCACCAGGAGCTCTGAATCTGAAAAGTTGTGATGTATGACAGCCATTACAGCAGCAGGAGGCATAAATAAAGCTGCCATCATTATAACCCCATGAAGCTCCTGCTGAAAGCAGCCCCCTGACGGATGGCTGACACTCGGCCCTAAACCCAGACTAAACTCCCATCCAAGAAAGTGTCATAAGTCACCTTCAGACTCTCTCTGGAACCTAAAAATCAGGCGCAGAATCTTGTGGGTAATCCTGGACTAAGTCCTGGCCAGTCAGGGAGCGGCCAATCGGGGCGCAGCGTCGAACAAACGCTCCTAAAGTTTGAGCTGCTCGCCATCCGTCAAAAAGCCTCCGCTCCTTTCTCCGGCTGTCTGCGGGCGAAGCGCTGACTCGGCAGATTCAAACTCACTCCAAAAGGAGTCGGGAGCATAAAACACGCGCGGCCTTTGGAGTCAGCACATCTTTATTCTCAGCGTTTATTAGGTCTGTGATTTACAGGAGCGGCTTTGGGGGGGCGACGGGGCCGTCGTGCTTCATGGGGGACGAACGGTCTCAGGGGCTGAAATACGACCAGGTGTGGAGCATAGGCGGGATAATAAATACAGATACAGGGAGGAAGCCAGTCATCCAATCGGAGCCCAGAAAGCTGCCCAGCTTCTGCGGCGCCCAAAAGCTGAGCGCTTCACGCCGTGTTTGGCCCAGAGTGGCTCAGCCTCGGACCAGCCTCTGACTGGCCTCTGATTGGGGCTCGGACCGGCCTCTGACCAGTCTGCAGACTGGCCTCTGATTGGCTTCTGACTGGCCTCTGATCAGGCCTGGGACCGGCCGGCGGCAGCCTCCTACCTGGTGTTCTCGTCGTAGAACTTGACTTTCCTCATCACTGAGGTGTTGTACCAGTCGCTGAAGACGATGAGCGACAGCCCGTTGTCGATGTCTCTCCTCAGCTTGGTGATCTCCTCTGGGAAGTACTCTTCCTCGCTGTCCACCATCAGCAGCGTGCCTGCGGGGGGGCAGGGGGGGCGGTCAACCATTAAAGCCTGGGCCTCCGGCTGTTGGCTGGCTCCGCCCCTCTGCTCTCTGCTCTCCTACCGTACTGGCTGGCATCGAAGCACGTGATGGGGGCCCCCAGCACCTCCACGAAGTAGCCCATGCTCCTCAGGTGCTGGTACATGTCCCTGAAGTTGGTGTGGATGTGGTCTCCGTTCCTGGGAACAGACAGGACACACTCAGCACCTTCCCGGCCGATGGCGGCGGGCGGCGGGCGGAGCCAAACCCACCAGTCCAGCGGGTCGTTCTTCATGCGCAGGTTGTCTCGGGGGAAGTAGCCCGGCGGGTAGCGCAGGTTGTGGTACTGGTCCCACAGAACTCGCTTGCTGCGGGGCGGCGTGGGCACGATCTTCACCTTGATGGGCAGTTTGACCGTGGACGTCAGCTCCCCTCCGACCTCCGACTGCAAACAGCGGACAGACATTTGTCCCAGTTTTAGGCAGTTGAAAGCCTCCTCTCTGCTCAGAGCTCCTTTATTCTGGAGCCTCTCCTCTTTAAGGAGTCTCCAGGAACAGCTCTAATGTCCCAAAGCTCTGCTCGGGATGCTGCTGCTGCCTGTGACTCCCTCCTCTGTCCACACTGCCTCATCCCTTGAGTTAGGGCTCTGTTTCCAGAACACAGACTGGTTGGAAATGACTGAAAAAGCAGCCTGGGTCCAAAGAAAAACTCTAAAAGACCTTCAGGAAGCCAAATGCCGACTGCTTTAAATGTCAAATCTAGTTGCTAGGCCTTTCAAATTTAGAAAATTCTTCCACTGCAGCAAATTCAGCTCAAATCAGGTTTAAAATCAGGTAATTTAATATGTCCAATAGCTAAAAAAAAGAGGGGTCTGTTTCCAGTGCACAGACTGGTTGCAAATGACTGAAAAAGCAGCCTGTGTCCACAGAAAAACTGGACACATCTGGTATCCAGGCTGGGATTTGCACATCTCTAAATCTCAGATCCCCTCCAGCCTCCATAACACACACACACACAGGGCTGAATCGGCTTGGGAAAAGCGAGCTCACGTCGTTCTCGGCGGGCGAGGCCACCGTCACCATCACGTGGCCCTGGGCCACGCCCTCCCAGGACGCGGCCTTCTTGGCCACGGAGATGGACACGGCCAGGTATCCAGCCCACGGCCACAGCACGGGGGAGTAGGAGATGGCCACGTCCATGTGGTCGCCGTTCTGCGGGAGGTACGGCTGCCAGATGGGCTGGACGGGGGAGAGGAGAGCACACGGTGAGCCTCGCTCCACAGAGGGGGGGGGGCAGAGCCTCCTGGGGCAGCTCACCTTGTCCACTATCCTGCCGGTGACCCCCATGCCGTTGAGGATGGTGACGTTGACGATGGTGGGCATGCCCCCGTAGTAGATGGGCTGCGAGCAGTAGGGCCACATGTAGGGACACTCCGTCAGGTCGATGTAGCTGGGAGACAGGCTGGGGGGAGCAGTTAGAGGTTAATTAGAGGGGATTATTGAGACATTATTAAGAAAATATGGCTTCTAAAATCTGTGCATGATATCTGTGTTCTGTATGTTTTTCTGTATCTGTTTCATGTTTTGTGTTTTTATGTGTATTTGTATGCGTTTTTGTACGTATTTGTGTACATTTTTGTATACGTTTTGTATGTGTTTTATGCATTTTGATGTGTTTGTATGTTTTTCTGTGTTTTATATGTTTTTTAATGTGTTTGTATGTGTTTCTGTATCAATTTGATATGGTTTGCGTTTTTCATGCGTTTTACGTGTTTTTTATATGTCTTGTATGCCTTTTATGTGTTTTATATGTTTGTATGTGTTTTCTATGGGCGGGTCTCTTCCACAGTTCACTTTGGGGTGTGTCTGCCGGCTCCTGTTTGCTGCCTGCCCTGTAAGCAGAGACGCGTACCTTGCCTGAGGCCTGTAGCTGTTCAGGACCTGGTAGGCCCGGATCAGGTCCAGTTTCCCGTGGCCCTGCTCAAACATGTTGACCCCGGGCAGCCTGCGGGCCGAGGCGATCAGAGCCTGCTTCATGGAGGCCGGGTTCACCAGCTCCCGGTTCAGGACGGTGCTGTGGACAGAGGGTGGGGGGCGCAGAGGGTTTGAGTGAGCTGTCCGTGCGAGGCTTAATGCAGCAACAAATCAGCCCGGCTGCAGCTCTGCTAAAGGCTTTCAGGGCGTATCGACAGACGGGGAATAACACCAGGCATTAATCAGCGGCACGCCTCCGTCCTCTGGGAGGCATTCCTCCACCGGCTCGCGTCGGATTACAAACCCAGAGGTAATTAAACCGGGGAGCCTCAGCGCTGGACTACATGTGTCCTCTGATGTCAAAGCCTTCGCAGGACAACAGCAGCAGCCGCACTCAGAGGGAGAGCCGAGCCCCAGAGGGCATATGAAGGCACATGAGACTCACCAGCCAAGCACAAACATGCTCTCAGTACAGCAGAAGCTCTACCTACGATCAATTTCCAACATATGACGTTGAAGTCGTAGAATAAAAATAATAAAATGTAAAAATTTTATAAAAATAAATAAGCAAAGTTAGTTTAAAGTTCAGGTAGTGAAAGTTAGAAAGTTATCGTGAAAGTTATCTCAGTCCCTTTTTATTGATTATTTCTTTGTAATCAATTCTTTTTACATCTCTCTTATATAATGCATTTATTTTATTGCTATGTGTAATTATCTGCAGTATTTAAGGAGTTATCGGAGGTTTTTGGGCTGTGGAAGCAATTATACCAATTACAGTGTATTCTGATGGGAATATTTGAACCAACATATGATTATTTTAACATAGGAAGTAGGTCCTGGAACCAGTTAAATTCCTATCTTGAGGTTTTACTGTACTGAGTTAGCGTGCAAATCCATCTGAAAACTTCACATCTCTGCACACGTGCGCCTGCCCTGCAAACAGGCTTCCTGAGCCCCCCCGCCCGTCCTGACCTGGCCAGCAGCGTGACGGCGCCTGCCACCACCGGGGAGGCCACGCTGGTGCCCGACAGCGAGCGGCATCCCTCCTTCATGCCGGAGCCCCGCACGCCCGAGCCGTAGGTGACGATGTCGGGCTTGACTCGGCCGTAGCCCCCTGGCAGCTCCTGGACATAGAGGGAAGGTTCAGGGCCACAGAAAAACACTTTGGATCTCTGGAAACATCCTGTGAATCATCCACTCTGACCCATATTTTCAAACCCTTTTTTCCAGTCGCTGACCCGGTTTTGAAAGCAAATTACATCACTGAGACATTTCCAAAACGCTCGGTAGCCTGCTGATTTCTCCACATGCATTTATGGGGTGCCTCCTTTTCAGAGGAAAGGGGTTTATTAAGCTCCACTAATTCCCGGCCGACTGCTCTAAATTTGGTCTGTTCTGTGTTTCTCTATTTATGTAAATCTGTTCATCACAACTCAAGGAGACCAGGTGGAGGACTCGCACACAGACCTGGAATCTCCTCCTAGGAGTCAAACGTCTGCTCTTCATCTTTTTGTCGACAGATTTACTGATTAGTCGCCAAAGTACTGAGGAATTGAACCGATCGGTTTAGTTTCAGGTCATAGCCGAGCCTCCCAGATTAGTCCCCTGGTTCTGGAGCCTGAGGCCCAGTAGGGAGCCTGTGGACGGCAGCTGGGCTCTTTCTCTTTCAGCTGAACCGGAACCGGACGCATGCCGGCTGCTCCGCTCAGACTTTGTGGCTGCAGCTTTCACTGACTGGCCTCAGAAACACATGCTGCCAGCTCCTGAACAAACAGGAAAGGAGCCGTTTCATCTGAGCCTCCCTCTCTGATTACTGATCAGGGGGCAGTTCTAATAACAACAAAACTGAAACATCCAAAGAACTAAGTGTGCTCTGGAGGTAAAAAAAAAAAAAAAGAAGCTTTTCAGAAAAGTCTTAATCGGACTGAAAAACAGAAGTGAGCAGACTGAGGACAGGCTGTCCGGCTCACCCAGGTGGTCATGCCTCTGGAGGAAAATCTTGCTATGTTGTCTTCAAAGTCGATCCCTCCGACTCCGATCACGTCCATCTGATCAGCTGGATTGTTCAGGGTGCTGAAACCAGGACGCAGGGCGTAAAGAGGCTGATTCATCTCAACGGACTGTAAACTTCAGCACTTTCAGAAAAACAGAGCTTTCTGCTAATTGTGCTCAAACTTTACAGTCTAAAAACAAGTTAAAATCCTAAATAATACAGCAACAACAAATAATCAAAATACTAAATGCTGCAGAGATAACTAATAATTAAAATAATAATAATAAAAATTGTAAATGCTGCAGAAATAAATAATAATTAAAATAACAATTAAATCCTAAATGTTGGCAGACAGCAGACTGTTTAACTGAACCACCTGTAGCCCAGACAGGGACAGTCTAGATACTGTGTGGTGTCACTTATCACTTTATTACTAGTCACCTATCATTTATATTTCTCTGTAATTACTTGTTTTTTGTATTTTAAAATGCTGCTATAATTTTGCGCTCCTCACTTTAAACAATTGTCCACGACTTTAGCTAATTTATTTATCTCCTTTCACCTTTGTATCTCAAGCAGTTTTCCCTCAGGATTAAGAAAGCTTTTTGGATCTTACATTAACTGCGTGTCAGACCGGGCAGTGTATGTAGCAAAGCCCCCCCCCGCCTCTGTAGGAGCTCCTCCAGTCGGGGCACGTCGGCGACAACACCCCAGGGAGGCAGCAGGAATGCATCCTGACCTGATGCCCGACCGGCTCTGTTCAACCCAGCCCACTAACCCATAGCTCATAACAACAAGGTCCGGCGTTTGGTCTTAGATCCCGTGCTAAACTTCATCAGACAAGCAGGACCAGAGGTCTGGAAGCAAAGACCCACATACCCGTACAGAGGTCCGTCGTTGCCGATGGCCGACACCATGATGACTTTGTTGGCTGTGAGCTCCCACACCTGCGGGTCACACCCACAAACAGAAGAGAGTCAGAGGTTTTTAGTGGTTTAACTAAACCCTCACAGGTTTGCTTCATCTGAGGTGCTGGAAAATCCAAACGGCTTTGGGTCAGAACGGAGGCAGGGCTGCTTTAAGAGCTACTTCTATGACCCAGATTAGACTGAATTAGACCCAGGAGGAGCCACCTTATCCACAAAGGGATGGTCCATGAAGTCTGGACCCCCGATGCTGAGGTTCAGGACATCGATCTTCTTCAGGATGGCGTAGTTGAAAGCATCCAGGAACCAGGAGGTGTACGACACCTGCAGGGCGGGAAACAGACGACTCTAATGGATCAGGGCGCATTCAAACCAAACCTGAGACCAGAACCTGATGCCTTAGCTCAGGATTTCTGGTTATTTTCCACACAGGCCAGTACAGTGAATGTGCGTCCTACCTGGTTGTTGGTGAACACTCTGAAGATGTGCAGCTCGGAATCGGGGGCGAAGCCTTGGCACTCCCTCATACTGGCTATGACGCCTGCCACGAATGTGCCGTGGCCCAGGCCTGAAAACAGGACAGCACGCTTTACACCCGCTTCCACCACCGACTCAACACCGTCGCACACAAAAACAAAGTGTACCAACAACTAACGAGCAAACTAAGACAAACACCTAACATTAGGAAGAGATTCACCGTATTAAATGTAAATGTACCCGCACTTATAAAGAACTTTTCCAGTCCAACTGACCCCTCAAAGCTTTACACTGTACGACTTTCAGCATTAACACAGACACACACACTCACCAGATGGCCCTCCAATCAGGGTCCTCAAATCTGGTCCTAAAATCAACCGTTTAAATCTGCTCTTTGCTGCTGAGCCACAGAAATTTATCAAAGATTAACTAAAAATAGAAATCTCTAATATAATAGAGTATTAAATGTTTCTACGAGCTCCAGAGGGGAGCGGTGCCTGTGGACCAGGTAGGAGGATTCAGTCGGCCATTACAGTCTGAGATAACGCTTATCTAAACTGAACAGTGTTCGGGCTTTTTATTGTCCCTCAGTCCCTTATCGTGACCACAGGAACTCGTCAGCTAGCAGTAACTCTGGGGGGGGCTCTCACCATCGTCCAGCGTCTTTTCATTGGTCCAGTTGGTCCTTTCCTTCACGTTCTTGAAATGCGGGTGCTTTTCACTCAGGCCGGTGTCGAACACGGCCACCTTCACGCCCGAGCCTGCACAGAGGGAGGGCCACGGTCAGCCTCAGGGGGCGGAGCATCAGCCCCCACCGGCCTTCGGCTGGCCTGTGTGTGTGGTTCTGTTTATGCATTTAAAGCAGACAATGTTCCAGTTCTCATCAATCTGACAATCAGATCTCTGGAGGAAAATCCCCAGTCAGTCAGTGGAGACAGAAGGAGATGGAGGGAAGAGAAAGAGGAGTAGAGGGTACAGAGGTCTAGGGAGGAGTTAGGATAGGAGCTGCTCTGTGGAGAGGGGGGTCTGTAGGAGTTTATGAAGACCGACAGGTCGTTCAACCACCTTGGAACAATACCTGATAACAGTCCAGATTGTCTTAAAGCTTCCCGGTGTAGGAATTTCTCCATCTAAGGGTGAAACTGTATTCCGCATCCTAACAAATCTGCTCTCTAGCGCCTCCGTTTTCAAATGGGTATTACAGCTACGGTAGCTGTCAGGCATCGAGAAGTCATGACAACATGACTTCCACATCATGGAGTTTTCTCTGGTGATGAGGTTTGTAATTTAAAAGAAATTACAAACTGCACTGAATCATTAACCCTAACTAACCCTAACCCATGTAATTCCTCCTCGAACAAGAGGGCGAATTACGTTGCCATGTTAGCTTGTTTTTTTGTATGTGACTTAGCATTACTAGCCTAGACAGGCAGACTAGTGCTTTATGTCCCTCTCTGCCATTAAAGTTTTTCAAAATGGCGGGTCGCCATGGAAACCTCCCTGGACTTACCCGTCTTATTTATATACAGATAGGAAATTCTTCACTTATGAGGAGAAGTCAGATCGTTGCAGAGGTCATTTTACACCAAATGAGGACACATTTATAAAGGAAGAACATGGTTTTAGCTAATAAAATACTTAAAATACTAAACAGTGTCCCTTTAAGCGTGGTGCAGCCCTGCTAGCATGCGTTAAAAGGCGAGCTGCACCCCCCCTAAGCGCTCCTCCTCACCGGTGTGTCCCATCTGCCACAGCACGTCGGCCTGCAGGATCTGGGCCACGTGGCGGGGGATGGCGCGCAGCAGGCGCCGGCTGGAGTGGCGGCCGGTGGCGTGCCAGAAGCCGGATCCCAGAGACAGGCTGCTCCTCCTGAACGGCCGGGACGACTGCCAGGACGGCCACCTGGGGCTCCCCGCCGAGGCGTTGCAGGGCGCAGCGGCAGCTTCTGGGGCTGAAGGGGGGAGCAGCAAAGAGGGGGATCGGAGTTAGGACTTTTATTATTATCAATTTATTATTACTTATTTCAGAAGATTTTATTACTTTAATTATCATTATTTTAATTGTCAGTCATTTCTGCAGCATTTAGGATTTGAATTGTTATTATTTTAATTAGTTAATTGTGCAGCATTTAACATTTGAATTGTTATTATTTCAATTAGTTAATTCTGCAGCATTTAGGATTTTTATTATTATTATTTTAATTGGTTATATCTGCTGCATTTAGGATTTTAATTAATATTATTTTAATCATTAGTAGTTTCTTTTAGTTGTTGGGTCTTTTTCCTCGGACTCAGAGGCTTTGATTCTGGCTGAATGTCCTATTTGATAAGGATGCCAAACACATCCTGCTATCTATGGCTGGGTGCAGCCAATCAGAGCCAGCCGGGGCAACTGATAAAGCTCATGATAACATCCTTTTACAACATCCCCAACCCCGTTTACAAGCTTCAGCTCCACAGAAAACGACTGTCGTTCTGAGGTCCATAAACAGACCAGGAGAACTGTAGTTCTATTTAAGCTGGACGTCCGGTTTATGACCACCAGCCTCCAGTGACTCCACACGGTGCACCGGGATGCTCACACCCGCTGCCTGCAAGTAAGCCTTAGCTCCCTGGGTGGTTGTTATACATTATTTATATTAACCTCAGAGCTCCACCATCAGTTAGAGCTGAAGAATCTTCATGGATCAGAAGCCAAACATCTAATAGAAAACTTCACATCCTGCTGCCTGAACTGGACTTTTAAGCTTGACCTGGATAATTTTTCGAACTCGAAAAATGAACAACTTTCCCTTCGTCAATCTATCTATCTATCTATCTATCTATCTATCTATCTATCTATCTATCTCTTTTAGGGAAGTCTCATTTAAAGTGAAATCATGGACCAAATGGTCAAACTGTGTCAGACTTTGTGACCCCCCCCCATTCAGGTCACACTGACTCACCAGCTCCCTGCCTGGGGGAGCAAACAGACTCTCTCTGTACCCCCCCACCCCTTCCTCATAAAGACACACAGCCCCCGGCTGCAGCACACACCCACAGCAGAGCAAAGCGCCCTCAGCCGGACAAAGAGGCGCTCTGTGGGCGGCCTCCTGGGTCTTTCTGGGGCCGACCCCGTGTGGGGGGGGGGCCGAGCCAGCCTGAGCACACTGAGAGCCTGAAGCCCGCCCGGCGACGCCTCAGCGCCAGACTCACCGGGGGTGTACTTTAGGGTGCGGAACACTTTGCGCTGGGGCGTCACCCTCTTGATGTAGGGATGGTCCTCTAAGGTCAGCAGGCTGCCGGGGGGGGCTTGGCGGATGTGCACCAGCTCAAAGTCGCTGGGGAAGTGGGAGGCCGGGTTCTCCCTGGAGACGATGTGCCACTCCAGCAGGCCGCCGGCGGAGCTGCGCAGGGCGCTGCTGATGTAGTGGCTGCGGGCTCTGGCCGAGAAGTAGCCGGTGAAGGCCACGATGTACTCTGTGAAGGCAGGGGGGAGAGTTTAGAGATGAGAGCCACGTTTGCTGGACGCATGTCTTTCAAAGTCCAGGAGTCCAAAAATACACACGAAAATGCAATTTAGGCGAAGCTGATGAATATGCTGAGAGATAACAGACTTTCCAAACAGGCAGGAATCCACTGAACCGGTACCAGGACATTACAAAGACCCAGCCGGTTCGGTCACTACTACCATAAAACAACATGCCAGCAATTATTCAACTATGCGCACAAATAACTAACAAAAATCTACTTTCATCATTAATTTCCATGTTAGTTTACACCACTGTTAAGGCAGCATCTTCTTATCTGACAGAACCGATCTTCTAACTCAAAGTTAGAAGCATGTACTTCTCATTTATAACTCGAAAAATGACCTAATTTCCCTTTGCGAATCAATCTATCTATCTATCTATCTATCTATCTATCTATCTATCTATCTATCTATCTATCTATCTATCTATCTATCTATCTATCTATCTATGTTTCTTTCCATCTATGAGTGGACTGATCTTTAAGTGCGTCTTTAGGCTTTTTGTTTACAGCAGCTTCATGTGGATTTTAAACAGGAAATGCTGCTTTTAGGGTCCCTTCCAGATGTTTGACATTCACCCGTTTACCAGATGTTTTATCTCACTTCAGGAGAAACGTGGGCTGTGACATGTGACCCAGGAAGGATTCGAACCAGCAACCAGCCGACCATTCTCTGCTTCTTACAGGTAACCAGTTATTTTTGGTTTGTTTTTGGTGTTTCTGGAGCTTTGAAAACAGGTTTAAGGACGGTGATTTCCTACCATGTTCCACCACCTCGGAGGAGAACTCCAGTTTGAGGGTGAGCTGGGAGCAGTTGGCGTCGGGCGTCGGGGGGAGGGGCTCCCCGCTGGCGGGGGGGGGGCTGCCTCTGGCCCCCGGCTCCGGCTGCGTCCCCGCACCGGGCAGGAGGCCGGCCAGCAGCCCCAGGAGCACGGAGGCCAACACGGGAAACGGCAGCATGTCGGGCTTGGAAGCAAACTGTGGGCGGCGAACACCTGCTGGAGGCTCAGGTCCACAGCTCCAGATACGAGTCCATTCTGCGAAAGGCCGGGGAGCTAGACGGATTTCTTTCGGCGTTTCCTCTCCATGGTGCGGCGGCGGCGGGGCGGCGGCGGCTCAGCGACACGGCCGGAGCAGGATCACCGTCGCCATGGTTATGACCAGAGGAGGCAGGCAGACATGGAGCGCGGAGGCAGGCGGCGAGGAAAGGCGGCGGGGAAAGGCGGCGGCGGCAGGAGCACCGAAGCTGTCCCTTCTGTTTTTATCTGCAAGGAAACGAGAAAAACAAGTCCATGAGCAAAGCTGGCGCTCCCAGGAAAACGGCTCCCACCCACACCCTTATACATCTGCTTCTTCTCTCCTTTTATTCTAAGAAAAATCACATTATTCATCATATAGTCACATGGAATTGGGCTGTTTAAACCAAATTCAAGGCATTGAGATGCTATGCAGGCTTACTTTTCCCAAACTGCAATTTAAAAATGAAAACTACCTTAATTATGGTTCTGACTCCACGATATTTCTGCCACTAGAGAGGCAGCAGCAAATGTAAAAGATGCAGTTTACAGGCAGCTCGCAGAGAAAATGTTCCAAAGAGTTGTGAGAAACGAATGGGGGAAACCTGGCCTTCCTCTGGTGTCTCAGGAAAGCAAAGTGCACCTAAACGGACGCCCTGCCGGCTGCTCAGCTGTTCTGCCGGCTGCCACCAGGCAGCAGACAAAGCTGCTCCAACACAGACGTCCTGACGGGCGAGTGGCTTCCCACCGCCATCAGGACACTAAACGGCACCTTCAAATGCATTAAATGTCCCTTTAAGGCTACCGTAAAATGACTGTCTCCAACTAGTTCGAACAACCAAAAAAGCTAAGTGTTTTTAATCCAATTTACAAATCAAGCTTTGATTCATCTTTATATGAAAAAGTGTCAAACCTCATTACAGCTGGTGTAAAAGAGCTTATAATGTAACAAAAATCTGTTATTAATCTGTAGTCACGTCCACTTCCTCCTAATCCTCTACATTTCATTTCTAGAACTTCATATACAGGAAAATGTTTCATTTTTAGAGATGCTCCGGGCGATTTCATACAAAGAGAGCCATTCTCCCACATTTAGCAGCTCAGAATACAACTCTAGGTCCCCAAAACCCAAAAAGGGGCAACAAACAAATCCACCAAAACAAGCATCTGCCGCGCGGACCCGCATGCATGAGGAGGAGGAGGCGTGAAAACCAGAGAGGCGACACACAGCTAACACACACTCTGCAGGGCAGAGTTACCAAAGCGTATCATCGTCCCTAAAAGCTGCTCCGACTCTTTAATGTGCACCCACTCCTTTAAAAAAGGCCGAAGCTTTTGTTTTTTAAAGGAGGCTGAACGGCAGACTGGTTGAAGAGCCCCCACCAGCTCCTCCAGACGATAAACCACTGCCCCGTTTTACTGCTCCGCGACTCCTGGATAATAATCTGCAAACACATGAGGAATACAGATAAGACAGATTCATCCAGCAGGCCTAATCTACTCAGCCGCCCCCTTTGGCCTCCGGTCATAAGCCTGTCGAAGCAGAAGCCCTCATGTGTTGGACGTCTGCAGACCGGCCCGAAACAGGAGTGCTTCCTCTGCCGTGCCAGAGGGAAGGAAGGGAGGCAACCACTCCTCCTTTCACCCATTACAGAGTGTGTGCAGCCCTCAGGGAACAGCTTTGTTCTGCACCAGATAGCGCCCAGTCCGACCGGCTAATATGACGCTGAGCTGCTTTAAAACCACAAAGATTCAGCAGAAACGCGGCTGAGCTGCGGCCGGCAGAGCTGGATAAACTGAAAGAGAGGCTAAAACACGTGGATTGAAGGGCAGAAGCAGGCAGACGTAGATGGACCCGGCTAAGTGGCGTGTAAACGGGTCTGAGTTCTGTTCAGCGTCTCCGAGGCGACGCGTCACACTCGCTGCTAATTACTGTGTCGCTTAAACAAAAGGTTATATCTCTACCCTCTCCTTTCTTCTGTGGAGGCCACTGTAAACGCTGTTTAAGTGTCATTTTAGAAAGCCTTTTCATCATGAGGGAGAAGAAGAAAGTGAGTGTGCAGCCTGATCACCTAAACCCAAACCAGTACACACAGACTCAGAGACCAGTGAGCAGACAAAGCTCACTGGAGCCGGCCGATCTCAATCTTCTCCCACATGGAACCGGCAGCTCGTCTGAGTCCAACTTAAGAGACGGCAAGAAACCAGTTTTTTGGTCATGAACCACCTCAGGAGCCAATGACGGAAAGCCCTGACCTGTAAATACACCGTGCATCCTGATTGTTTTCTCCTTTCTGATATCATAGAAACAGCTTTGTTATACAGATCTTTTTGGGCATTTTGAATCATTCAGAATCCCCCAAAAGCTGAATGAAACCACAGTTTCTGTTAACACTTTATTTGTCAAGCTCTGCCGTCTTGTGGATGTCCACCACAGCGACTGTTTTTTCCAATCACAGTAACCCAGCAGAATAATTAATTGACCTGAATCCAGTCACAGTAAAAAGCCTAATCAGTATTTCTTCGTTGTTGGGAGAATGATGACCATGAAGCCTGCAGCTAATCTTCAGTAAACAGTCGGTGCTGGCTGCCAGCAAACCTGCCTCAGACCACAAACGGAGAAAATCTGTTCACTTAGAGGCACTGTGTTACTTAGCTTTGCTAAAATAGCACAAAAGCCGCCTTTTTGAGGCCATAAAAAGCCATTGTGCTCATACAGATGTGTGGTTACACAGAGCCGGCCTCCTCCCTTTCACAGCCTGCGTGTGGGCCCACCTCCGCTTGGTCTTAATCACACAGCAGATACCTGCTTCAGATAGGCCTCTGCATAGGTGCTAAGGGTGAAGATGGTGTCATTAAAAGCTCCTGGCGGGTTTACTCAGTGTGGAAGAGGATCAGACACCAGTTCCGGCTGGGATCAGGATCTTTGGCTGGGAGAGAGGACAGCAGGGCCGCCGGCCCCCGGCTGCCAAACAGCCGCTCTGGTTTGGGCTGGGTCCACTTGTGTCAACATGACGCCTACTCACAAAAACCGGTCAAATTTTCAGGCAACGGTGAAAAGAAACAGAAGAAACTACTCTAATTAAACCAGACGACAAAAAAAGACAAAAAAAGAGGAGAGATCAGTGAAATGTGGTGAAACTCGACAGAAAGTACAGATGGTTAATAAAATGTCACAAAAAGGAGGGTAAACGTTTACCAATTTCCCAGTGCAGAGTAGATTTAAAGCATTCTTATGTCAATACTATGCAGAGATTATCTCAAATCTAACATAAATAAAGCACACACATGCCTTTAGTTTACATTGTGCAGCGAAAGGAACAAAAAAAAGGTTAATTAGTTAGTAAACTAAGCTAACTAACAAAACAAGCGCCCCCCCAGCATGAAAACTGACACATATGGTGCAAGAGATCCATATCTAAGAGGACGGTTGTGATTTCTAAACCGTAAAGATAAGTGCGGGGAAACCTAACATGGTCTGGGGTGCCTTTTGTCTATTTGTTTTTGTAAACAAACAGCCATGCTAACAGATTTTTAGCCCATAGTTGATCACATGGCTAGCGTTAGCCGCTAGCTTAGCGCCCCAGCGCAGGGCTTTCCTCTGGTGTGTGAGCTCTCAGTACTCACCGTGGTCAACAACAGCCGAGGTGTCACATTTATCCGCTGGTTTGGGTCACTTAATGTCCGCCTACTGGAGTATTTTTAGCTGTTAGGTGCGAGCTTTGACGCGCAGCGAACAAAAGCTTGCAGCAAAGTCACTAAACGGTTCAGCCGCAGAACACTGACGTTTGGCTTCAACGGGTTGCCAGGTTGTGCTACCTCCGCGCCATAAATCCGCAGTCGCCGGCTCCCGTACGCACAAAGGAAGACAAAGTAAACAAGTTCCCGTCTGTTTCTTCATATAGTTAATTAGAAAGTACTTAAGGAAATGATCGTTGATAACATAATTATTTTCTGTTAAATAGATCCAGTAATGATGGTGTGTGGAGCTTTTGTCAAACCTGGCAACGCAGTGGGCTCCATCTGCTTCTTCAGCCTTGGAGCCTCTGGAGCCAGGTCGCATTTCTGCCGGTAGTGGGCGCTGTTTAGCCCGTTTGTCAAAGCCCAAACAAACCAGTTTCACCCCAAAATAAATCTCAATAGATCCTCTACACTTTGCCTATTTTAATTTTTAAAATGAAACACCACTGGACTTATTTTTGGGCATCAGTTTTCAGCTTTATTCACTTAGAAATGTTTGAACGCTCCTCAGATTTCTGTTTTAATTCCAAGCAACAAAGGTCTATTGTGATCTTTCCTCATGTCCTTGAGCAACAGTAATACAACTTTCTGAAGGTTTTTCTTGGTATCTGCCATTACTTGTTTTCAGCGAAATCCTTTTATCCAAACAAAATAAGTCTTTTTTTTTTCAGTCTTTATTCTTAATTCGCACGACACTGGTGTGTGACTTATTCCAGCACAAAAGGCCCCTAACTCAAGGGATGAGGCAGTGTCGTCTATTCCTTACACACAACTTTGGAAAAAAACCCATTTAAAATTGTATCTTTAGCTATGTTATATGGACACATATCTAATAATCATTCTTATTCTTATGTTTACATCTTCAAACAAGTTTTTCTTACCCAAGTTTACATTTTAAAAGAGTAATGAACATACTGCAAACTTTAGATTAAATCTGTTTTTGAAATGTAAAAAGTGGACCTGGCTGCCAATCTGAAGTTATTATAACCAACAGTAAAAATGAGTAATCTATTCCTCATTTGTTACATCGATTTAGATAAGAAGTTCACTTGGATTTCTAGGAAAAAGTGTTCACTACCTCCACAGAGTGGATATTTTACAGTTTATTTTACAGTGGGTATTTTACAGTTTATCGTCTCAAACCTTTTGCACAGTCTGATTACAACATTAATGTTTTTATTCCGACTGGGCTGTTGATCAGACTAAAACGGCTAATTTCGAACACAGTTTAAGCAAAACTCCAAAGAAAACCCAGTCTGACATATAGGAAACCTGATTTCTGAGGATTCCCAAAGAGCTGCTGGCTGAAAACTGGGCAGATCTCAGAGTCCTTAAAACATCTGCAGGCTTTCCCTATAAATAAAAAGATACTCACACGTTCGGATGAGAGCTTCCACAGCAAGATGTTTCATGCAGAGTTTTAAGCAAAGAGGTCGAGTTCATGGATTTTGTATTTTTGCTCAAAAGCAGGAAGACAAAAAGTTTATTTTAAATCCATCTGACTGAAAAACTGCAACTTCATTTTACAGTAACTTTATCTTTTTTAAGCTGAAGCCGCCTCCTTTAAACTAAATAGCAAAAAGGATTTCAAACGCGTGGACAGACAGAAAATGGGAGGAAGCAGATGTCGAGGTTCGGGTGCTTTATTCTCACCGTTTCAAAACATTTCATAAAAAGTTAATGGAGGAGAAATCAAAGTGTTATCAGACATTTTTAAACACCAGATGAGCTGTTTGGAGCCAACCGTGTTGAAATAGCTACTTCATTTAAACCAGCATTTACATTGAAATCACAGAGAGGAGCGGTGGACACATTCTGCTGTGCCCCCGGTCATCAGTCCAACATCAGCCTTTTTTCTATTGTAACTCTGATTTGTAACATTTAAAAAACAGGATTATTTCACATAAATGAAATACGAATAAAAAAAAAAGAAAAAAAATCAACTTGGCAGAAAGTATGACGACTTAAAAAAAAAGTCCTTCACACAAAATCTGTCATTTAAAATGACCACAGCTGCGTTCTCAGTGGAAAACACACATCTCTATATATTTTAAATGTACCCCAAGTCCTGCGTTTGATAATGAAAGCAGAGATTTGAGGGCACCGATACAACATTTACTGAAAGTCTCACATGAGGTCTTATAGAAGGAAGACAAAAACATCCCCAGGGGGTGAAGTATCGTCGAAAACAACAGCAGTAAGTCAGAGAAACGGAGGGAAAACAGTCACATCAGAGAGGTGGAAAATCATCCCGGATGGAGGGAAAGCAAAGACACAAAAAAAAAGGAAAAACTGAGGTCGTCTGACCTGGCTCGATAAGGCTCCAGTTGGTCAAAAAGCTCCCAAATTTGGAAAACTTTCCAACTCTGGGCAACATCACAGCAAAATCTTTAAAAAGCAAAGGAGGAAACGTCACTCTGTGCCATGTAATTTACTCTGGAAATGTTCTGGAGGGACAAAAACACACGAAAACACGAAAAAAAACATTAAACAAACTGTTAAAAACCAAGAAAATCTGATGAAACTGTACATGAAGTGCTTTGACAGAGATCAAACTCAAAAAAAAGAAGAAAAAAAGGACAAATAATCCTAAAATTGTGCAACTTGTGGAAAACCGATTTCAGGGAATTCATCTTGCTTTCGCTCGTGTTGTGGTTTGTCAGACGTGGACAGCAGAATCAACGGGGCTCCTTCTGGCTTTTCCCCGCGAAGCTTCGGAGTCGGGACACAAAAAGTGCATCAAAAGAGAGAAACTTCCAGTCAGATGGTGGTTAAAAGTAGAGCAGAGCCTCCTTCACGGGCTACATCACAACATCTACACGACTGTCTGGTAAAAACCCACCGAGTCACTGAGCCAGCTTTTTCTACATCCTTCAGAGCCCCTTTTTCCAACTTCTGGACCCCAAAAAAGATTTTTAAAAATTCCATCAAAAGTGACTTAAAGGTATTTTTCCCGCCAGAGATCAGACTTCATGGCTTCTTATCAACAGGCCAGAGGAGCAACCGGCCCTTTTAGAGCTAAATGCTCCTCCGGGGGGGGGGGGGGGGGCGGGGGGGGTCTGAACATCCTGTTTTTTTTCCACCACAGAGCCAATATGGGAGGCAGAAGTGGGGGGTTTGCCCACAGAGCCGTGATCCCTCGTTTACCCCCCAGTGGCTCCTGTTCCCCCACCGGGACGTGCTGGCTCCTCTGGGTTCAGGATGTTTTTCATCCTGATCCGCCTCCGACTGGACGCCTGCTGCTTTCTTCTGTCTCTGGACGTCTTCTGTCTCTTCCTTTGGGGACTAGCCGCTCCCCTTTGGGGCGCCGTCCTGCAGATTCAGAGATTTTCCAGCTCCTGCAAACCCCGTTGTGGACCAACTGGACGTCCAGAAGCGCTTCAGCTGAGCACAGATCTGCAGAATGGACTTCTGATGCCAATCGGTGGGTTAGAAGCCTGCAGGGCAGCGGCCCAGGGGGGCCTGGAGAGAACCAGAGAGGACCAGGGAGGACCAGGGAGAACCAGGGAGCCCCAGGGAGACCTAGAGAGGCCTAAAGAAGCCCAGGGAGGATCAGAAGCCGCCCCCTTTCCCTGCCCACCTCCGCTGCCTCCAGGGACCCCCGGCAGGAGCTCGGGGGGGCTGAACGCTGTAACATGGTGACAGAAGGGGGCTGTTTTCAGGCTGAAGCTGCCGACTGTCCGACCCCCGGCTCAGCTTCCTGCGTGGCCTGAAACATGCTGCTAGGCGGAGAAGGGAGAGCAGATTTATGGTGGCCGACGGCTTCTGAGGGGAAACGCTGCCAGTCCAATGACACGAAGCTTCACAATCTTCTGACGGGTGGGGAGCAGCTGCCCCCCCCCCCCAGGCGGCGCCCTCCAACAGAACCACAACAATTCACAGCACTTTGAGTAAGAAATGACGTGTAGGAGTCCCTCCTGTCCAAAGAAAAGCTCAGCGTCCAGAACTCTGCTCAACAGGTCCTCCAGTTGGGTCATAGTCCAGCGACCACCTGAGCACGGACAATAATAAATAAATATGGAACCACCCGGGGATGGAGAGGGGGGAGAGAGGGAGGGAGTGGGAGGTATAGCCTAGGAGCCCCCCCCCCTAAGCCAAGGCAGCGTTCATGCTTTTAGAGCCACGACTTCAAAGTGTTTCTGAAGGAGGAGGGCAGCAGACGCTGGCCGGGCCCAGCAGAACCGGGCCGGACTGAGCCAAACCGGGCCAGAGGGAACAGAACCGGGCCAGAGGGAGCTGAACCGGGCCGGACTGAGCCAAACCGGGCCAGACCCAGAAGGACTGAGCAAAGCCAAGCCAGTTCAGGCCAGGCACGGCCGAGCTGGACCACGCCCAGGTGGACCAGGCCCAAGTGGATCAGGCCCAGGTGGATCAGGCCCAAGTGGATCAGGCCCAGGTGTATCCGGCCCAGCTGGTCCAGGCCCAAGTGGTCCAGGCCCAGCCGGTCCGGGCCGGTGGGGCGGCTGCCCTCAGCCGTTGTACTGCTGCTGGTAGCGGCGGTTGAGCTCGCGCAGCTCCTTCTCGCGGACCCGGCGGGCCTTGTTGGACTTGGTGGAGCGGCTGGAGCGGGTGGACTGGGCCGACTTGGTGCTGTAGGAGCGGGAGGAGGCCCGCTTGCGGAGGTTCTGGGAGATGCTGCGCTGCAGGTTCTTCATGGAGGACGAGGCCGCCATGCTGACGATCCAGGGGTGCTTGAGGGCCTGGCCCGCCGACAGCCGCTCGCCCGGGTCCACCGTCAGGATCCGCTCCACAAAGTCTTTGGCCAGGTTGGACACGCTGGGCCAGGGCTAGGGGGGGGGCAACGGGAGAGACAGCGTTACACACCGGCTGGGGGGGGACAGGATAGACAGCGATAACTGGAGCCAAAACCTCTGGAGCACAAAGGCAGGGGGGGCAACTCCAGGCCTCTCTGAGACTCTCTAGACTTCTTTGGGCCTGTTTGGGCTGCTGTCCTGCAGGTTTTTAGAGGTTTCAGAGGTTTTCCTGCTTCTTAAAACCTGGTTCAGATCAAACTGATCTCCCCTAAAGATGCTTCAGGTGGTTCTGGACTGCTGGTGTTGATGTGGACCAGGTGTGTACAAGCAGAGAAACCTTTGAAACCTGCAGGACAGCAGCCCGGAGAGGACCAGAGAAGACCAAAGTGGACCAAAGAGGCCCAAAAAGGCCTGGAGCTGTCCCCCCTGCTGCTCTGTCAGTGACAGAGTCCAGACACAAGATGGCAGCACTGGCCCTCTAACAGGACTGTGAAAATGATCCCTCTGACTTATTCCAATGCCTCATTTTCAGTTCTTCACAGATTATAATATTAGAATATCAATTAGAGTTTTTGGAGGCGTTTTTGACTCATAACTTCAAAAAAGAGGAGGAAACAGGTAAAATGACAGCCTGTGAACCCACTCTGACTCATCTGAATGCCTCATTTTCAGCTCCATCAGCCACAAAAACATTCACAGATTATAATATTTGGAAACCCCCGAGTTAGAGGAGTGGCCTCTCCCCCACCGGCTTGGGGGGGGTTTATCTCCCTCCTCACCTCTCCGGAGAAGCTGTACTTCCCCTTCAGGATCTGCCGGTACAGCCTCATGCGGTTGTCGTCCTCGAAGGGCATGGTTCCGCTCAGCAGGATGTAGGAGATGACCCCCAGGGCCCACATGTCCACGGCGTTGGTGTAGGGCTTCCTCACCAGGATCTCGGGGGCGATGTACTCGGGCGTGCCGCAGGTGGTCTTCATCAGGCACTCGTCGCCCTTCTTGCGGCTGCTGGCCAGGCCGAAGTCGGTGATGATGATCTTGGAGTCGGCGCCGGGGTGGTAGTACAGCAGGTTCTCGGGCTTCAGGTCGCGGTGCGTGATGCCCAGCGCGTGCAGGTACTTGACGCCGTCCAGCACCATCTGCAGCACGCGCGTGGCGTCGCGCTCGGTGAAGGAGCCGCGCGCCGTGATGCGGTCGAACAGCTCGCCGCCGGTGGCCAGCTCCATCACCATGTAGACGCGCTCCGCCGTCTCGAACACCTCCATCAGCTGGATGATGTTGGCGTGGCGCACGCGGCGCAGCACGCACAGCTCCGAGCCGCACACCTCGCGGCCCTCGCGGAAGCGCGTCTCGATCATCTTGATGGCGTACGGCTGGCGCGTGCTCTTGTGCTCCACGCGCACCACCCGGCTGAAGCTGCCCCGCCCGATCAGGGCCTTGATGTCGTACTTGGCCGTGACCCGCGGGTCGAACTTGGCCCGGTACTTGGCCACCTTCTTGCGCTGGCGGTCCGACAGCTCGCAGGGCTCCTTCTGGGACTGGGCCGAGGCGGGGGGGGTGGCGGCCTGCGGCCCGGCCGGCCGCGGCGAGGTGGCGGCGCCCGACACCGCCGCCGCCGTCTTGCTCGCCGTGCCATCCCCGCCTATGAAGTGCTTGTAGATATCGGTCTGGGGGGGTTGGGGGGGGTCGACCTGCGGGACACAGCACACGGCTCGTCACGCCAACCAGAAAAGCCCTCACAGATTATAATAAACAGATTATAATAATGTCATGTACAGAGGAGGAAAGAGGCAAAAAGGACCACCCAGCACCCATTCTGACCCATTTAAATGCCTCATTTTCAGCTCCATCTCTAACTAATTTGGTACCAATACAGGGTCGATGGCAAAAAGGAGTCAACAAAGAATATAGCTGTTGCGTAAGCTGAATGATTTGAATGTTTCCTGGTTCTTTTATCGGTCATTTATTAAAAGCCTTTCGCCCTTTTCTTTTATTACCTGGTTTTAGGGATCGTCCGTGAAGGAGAAGAATCCTGACCTGATCCATAGCCATTTACCCTGCCCCCCCCATTAGAAATGTCAGATTTTTTATCAAGCTGCTAAATGCTGATGCCATCAATTAGTCATTTATTTATTCCAGCCATAACGTAAAAATGTATTTATTATCATGTATTATTTATGTGCTGACCTCTTTTTCTTTTGTTTTGTGTCTGACTGGAGTTAAATTGCCCTATTCTGGATAAATAAAGTTGCTGAATTGAATTGGAATAAATGTTTGCTTTTTGTAAATATATAAACACATAAACAAACTATGAAAACAAGTTTTAGAGTCCAGAAAGAAACGGAGGTCTTCGTTCTTCCACTCGAACCAAAGAGATCCAACTCTGATCTTCTTTAGTTTTGATGTCCGATCATCCACAAAGAAAAAGAAGAAAAAGAAAGAAAGAGAAAAAGAAAAGCGCTTTTTGTGCCACAAGGTGGCGTCACATGACCCGGTCCTCCCCTCTCTGACACCAGCTGCCAGTTCCGGTTCAGGAGGTGAAAAAGGCCCCAGAGCTGAAGCCGGGCTCGGACCTCTGGGTAACATCTGGACCCCTGCATGCTTTAGTCATTATGGCCGCGTCCGGTCACTCAGCGGGGTGCCTGGATGTCTCTGGTCAAATGGTAAAGAAAACCTCCACCTTTTCCAGAGCTGGTTTTTCCTTGCCCC